GTATCAGAGAGCTGGTCAATTTACAAATTTTTTACCAGCCAACCATGGGAAAAAAAGACTAGGAGGTGAGACCCCAAGGCTTACCAAATCAATAAATTAATGATGTCTGCCTTGAATCATGGGATGCAGGATGGCCTCTGGTCACCCCAGTTCATAGGCTTCCTTCCCCAAAGACCATTTTTGTCACCAGCATCGCAGAGACAGTTTCTGGTGAAACTAAAAACAGTGTAAAGTTCAAACAGATCCCAAACTCGCAGTTCTTCCAAGAAGCACTCTGTACCACCACTTTGTCTTTTGGAGACTTTGCAGGCCTGATTGGTTCCAAAAGCTTGGAGGTGTCTCAACACCTACATGTGGTTTAAGAGTCCAAGTCTTCTACTGTGCTGGTACTAAACTACCTGGAGACTATCCAGGCGCCCATCACCAACAGTTAGATCTTCAGCATCAACAAAGCTCAGCTGTCCAGAGGTAGCTGTAACTACTGTACCTCTTCCTCATATTCTAATACAGCCTTCATAGTTATCTTGCTTCACAGCACCATTGGATCAATTTGTTCTTCAGGAGTGAGAGTTACCATTCTTTTCAGTGCCTCCCACAATCTAGAGCCAGTAGCACCCCAAGTGGCATGAGGCCTTCCAGTGCTGCCATCCAGAATTATCTTAATTCAAGTGTTCATGAGGTTCTGAAGATGATCTGGACTCAGCAATCTCACCCTTAAACCCCAAGAATCTCCTCCACATTTCTCTGAATCTCATGAAAAAACGGATGCTGGATCCTGAGCCATTCTTGGCTGTGTTACTCAGCCTCTTGGTCCCAGAGCCTATTTCCTGCTTTGCCTGTAGCGACTCTTGTGGCACTGGGCCACTCAGATGGGAGAAGGTGCAGGGACCTGCTCCATGGCTTCAACCTCCAAGGATGCAGCCACCAACTTCCCTGGCTCCCCTTTGCCTGGATTATGAAGTTCCACTGGAATCTGTTATCCACTTTGCAGAATTTGAGACTCTACCAAATACCTTCTTTGTGCTCAGACAAGAGTCCCACTGAATACCTCTTATTCAACTTATAAGGGCCTTCAGGCTATAATGAAGAGGGTGGCAGCAGCACCCCAGACCCCCATGAAAGAAATGGAGAAAACTATGCATAAACTGATTGATATTTTACAACAGTCCACATAAGGCAAAAAATAGCCGTACGTATCAATGAGGCTATCAGGGAGGTGGCTTCCATTGCAAGGAAAGTGAACAAGTGTCGAATGCCATATAGAGAAGCAGAATTATTATACATCCACTACTTTTTCATCTTCCCTCCTTGGCAAAACAGCACACCACCACTCCTGGAAAGGAGCAGCCCAAGAGGATTGACTATTAAGGCATGAAGTACTACTGCTTGATGGGCTTTCTGTTTCAAATGGCCAACTAACATGCCATAATGGGCAAACTATCACCAGAGTTTGGGAGCAGTATTAAAGCACTGATATCTAAAAGCCTAGTTGTTATCTGCAGTAGTCTTTGATAACAGCAGATACTGTATCTAATGCCATGCTGACAGTGTGCCAGGAAACTCCTTGTAGTTTTTCTCATGAGGTACAGCATGTAGTAGAAAATATTTTGTCTGAAGGAACGAAACTCTATTTAGTGCATAATGGATGAAGCAGTTCATATAATAAAAGACTAAAGCGATAGCGATGCAGTGTCCTGAGGAGAACGCAAGGTATGGCCAAAACAAGAACAATCACAAGTCCTATCCCTGGCAACCAACTCAACCTTCCTTCTTTTCTCTTAATTCGTTTATAAGACAGCGATTCCATAAGTGTGAATTGGTTTCCCTATCAGCCCAGTTGGCTATAAAGCAGTCCTTTTTTGTTGAGAGGTGTGAACTGTCTCGTGAAATCCGAGTGCCAACCCCACCACCTTTGGGAGCCACTTGGTTCTCTTCATGCATATACTTGGGTCCACACCATGACAGACCTGTGGGTCCTACTGACCATCTCAGCTGGCTACAACATCCAGCAGAGCTGGGTACTTGTTTCCAATCCTCCTTTCCCATCCCCTTTTTCAGAGATCTTTTTCACAAGAACTCCAACAAGGTCTCCTCACTACTATTCCTGGGGGTTGCCAGGATGTACACCTAGACAATCTGCTCAAAGAAAAAAATGTTACTTAACCACACTAACTGAAGGTGCTGAAGATATGTTGTCCATATGCACCCTATATTTTGTCCCCTTTTCCTCACTGTCCCACATTATGGGATTCTGCTGTTGACAGAAAACTGAGGTAATGGTGGTAGGAGCACAGTTATGCCATGGGTGCAAAGCCCAGAGGAGCAGAACACAACTTGGTTTTGAGAATTCACACATTTTTCCTAGCAGATTTTCACAGTCTTTCTAATAAAATAGCATGCTCTGTGGTGGTTAGGGAGACAACATGCAGACAAAATTGTGCTTGTCAACCCAGGTTGCCCCCTTGCTTCTCGCATGCTCCCAGGGCTGGTGGGAGGGGCCACTGAGGCAGGTGGCTCTGGACTTGGTTGCGAGTCCCTGGAGGAACTGCTGTGGCAGTAGGGGCTGTGGTTGCTCCCTTAGGTATCAACTGTCCTTTCTGTTCTTTATGGTAGCCTATCAGATTTTTGAACGCTACTATTGTGTTTCTCTCTGTCGTCTTTTCTCTAAAATGGATGTGTTCAGTTCTCTCAACCTTTGCTCATAATCCTTGCTTTTTGACTCCTTTATCATTTCTGTCATTCCCTTCTAGACCCTCTCTAATTTTTCAACATCCTCCTTAAGCTGGGGAGCCCACAACTGTAGACTACTCTAGCTGACTCTTAACTAGTGCTAAGTAGGGTTCCTGGTAGATATCACATTTTTTGGGTAGTACATGCAAGTATTTTATGCCAAATTGTAACATGGCAGATGTCCACATGTTAAAATAATGAGATTTTAACATGTGCTATAAAAGTTGTTGTTGAACAAGCAACTTGTAGTGGGTCTGCTATTTTTATCCAGGGATAGACTGGTTTAATGTCTGGCTTGTCATACTTTATCACATGATACTCGCATATAAAGCACAAAAAAATGTAATGTGTCCCAGGGCTTGAGTGGCACTAGCACAAGCACAAAAAAATGTAATGTGTCCCAGGGCAGGAGTGGCACTAGCCCCTGCCATGTTGTGCACCTAATACTCCTATTCATGTAGTACAAAACTGAATTTGCCTTTTTTTGTGACTATACTGCATTGAGCCACTAAAACTCCTAAATCCTTCTAAGTCATGTTACCTACCAGTCAGGCAATTATTTCTCAATCTGTATTTGTTATTTTTGATTATTCTTCCATAGGTATAGAACCTTATATTTATCTTAACTGGACATCCTCCTACTCTCAGTAGCCAAGATTTCCAATGTCAAGATCTGTCTGAATTCTACTCCTGTCTTTCAAAAGTGCTAGCAATCCTTCCCAGTTTCATGTCTTCTGCAAACCTGAACAGAAAGGCCTCAATTCCAGCATCCAATCATTTGACCCAAAATGTCAAATAGCATAGGATCCAGAACAGACCTTGTGGAACCCCATTTGAAACCTCCTACTATTCTAACACTGATCCCTCTATAATTATGCTTTGCTTGTAGTATTATCTATCTGTATCCATGTAGATGTATAGTACCATTTACATGTATTTGTTGAGCACAGGTCTCAAACCCAGTACCTTAGTGGTGATAGAACAAGAACATGACCACTAAGATACTGCCCAGAGCCCACCTCATCTGTGAGCAACTCTCTGTAAGTTGTTTTAACAGCCAGATTTCGTTTTGAAGCAAGGGTTTCCTCATTCCAGTAACTGGCATGACCATCTAAGGGGTTGTGCACAGAGAATTCTTACCTTGACTGTGGCATTAGAGGGCAGTCTCTAAAATGGTGACCTGTTTGGTAAGCAAAAAATACTGCTTTGCTTTTTATGATAGATAATGTTACATATTACAGCAAAAGGTGTCTTATAAAAACAGAATAAAAAAGAGGAAAGGAAACATTAAGAAACTGGTTGTTGTAAACAAATTTAGTATAATTTGATGTCTGATTATTACAGTTACAACAAATACTAAAATCCTGCCAATCACGGTATATGAACTGAACTGAACTGAAAGGAGAAAAAATGTCCCACAGCTTTTAACAAGAATCCCTCTCACAGCAGTGCCATGTACAACTATAAACATTATTAGAATTTATTAACAAAAGCTTTGTACATATCTTTTCATACACTTGGAATTTTACATCTAGGCAAAATAACAGCACATTTCCATTTTACTGTTTGTACAAATTGTTACAGAATATTCATCAGTGGGTTAAATAAGTAAAATAAACCACACTGATTTACTTTTGTAAAGTATCTACAAAAGTGATTTGTGACAATTTTTAAAATTCCCCGAAACATATAAAAATAAATTATTTTTACTTTTTCAATTAAATGTACTAATTAGAAATATTACAAATCAAAATATCAATGTTTTCTTATGAATTTTTCACAATACAAAACAGATTCACAAAACTTTATTTACAGAAATGAGGTAAGAACTGTGCAATGTTTAACCAAGAGACATATTGCAGAATTAACATGTTCTTCCAATTAAGTACACAGTGGAGGTCTAATTACAGCTGGGTCTTTTCCACTAACAACTCACTTTTCTAAATACAAATTAATGGTCATTACTCCAATTTTAACCTATACTCTGCCATACTGCATAGTCATGCCATGAGATCAACTGTCCTAGATGAAAGTGTTCTAAAACAAATTCACCCAGTTTAAACACTGAAATTTCAGTGGAAAATGTTAACTACATACTCACTTTTTTGGTAAGTTATTAGTGAAAGGGACCCAGGTAACAATTTGCCTGAGCTATCTACAGTGGCAAAAACACTTCTAATAAAGGCAGAACAATGGGGAAGGCTGCTGGTGCAATATCAAATATTCCTGCT